TAGCCCTGGCTGTCCTGGAACTCACTCTGTAGACCAGGCTGGCCTCGAACTCAGAAATCCGCCTGCCTCTGCCTCCCAAGTGCTGGGATTAAAGGCGTGTGCCACCACCGCCCGGCTCAGTCTATCTTCTTGATGAAGACTCCAAGGTTCTGAAAGAAATGACTCACCTGCTATCATAATCCAAATTCAAACTCAGATATCTAGCTCTGGAACTGTTCATTTCATTATCCATTTTGGTTTTCTATGGTTTAGAAGAACAACATAATTGCCCATTTCCTTTTGTTCCTGCCAAAGATCAGATAGTTTCTTCTCTGTCCCTAATAAGTGAACAGAACTGGCTTGCAAAATAATCATGGATATGGCACTGTACAAGACATGTCCACATATGATGAAAATAGTTTTACAGATGTTAGCAAGTATACCATTTAAATTATGCATGGAAAATTTGAAAATAATCAGACTTTCTTTCTCTCTTTCTTCCTTCCTTCCTTCCTTCCTTCCTTCCTTCCTTCCTTCCTTCCCTTCTCTTTCTTTCTTCCTTCCTTCCTTCCTTCTTTTCTTTCATTCGGCTTCAAGTCTTGGAAAAGAACTATATAATCTCTTTTAAAATGTATCAAAGTGGGCTGGAGAGATGGCCCAGCAGTTAAGGGCACTGACTGCTCTTCCAGTGATCCTGAGTTCAATTCCCAGCAACCACATGGTGGCTCACAACCATCTGTAATGGGATCGGATGTCCTCTTCTGGTTTGTCTAAAGAAACTGACAGTGTATTCACATATTTAAAATAAATAAATCTTAAAACAAATATATCAAAGTATAAGCAGTAGTCTAATTCAAAGAACTATATTCAGTACTTTCTAAAATAGCAAAAATATTCCATTCTGTTAATGCTGTTACTAACATTTTAAAATTATGTAAAATTTATAATATTTAACAATAACATCTATGTGAAAATAAACAGCATCTGTAAACAGAGAAGCAAAAGCATCATTAACACATTTATTGTTTATTATTTATTGGATTTTCAAAACAGGGTTTCTCTGTGTAGTCCTAGCTGTCCTGGAAGCTATACTCTAGAGCAGGCTGGCTTTGAACTTGAATTGGCCTACTCTGCCTCCAGAGTACTGAATTAAGTGTGGAATGCCATGCCCAGCATCATTAACATAATTGTAAAGACCTTTTTTCTACCTTAAAATAGAACCTAAAAATGTGTAGTTAATTTTGTTAACACATTACTAGGAGCTCAATAAATAACATCCTTAATTTGAGGCAAACAGCAAACTGTAAAGAAAAGGAGCTAAGGTAAACTAAATCAAAGCTTTACTACTAAATGTTAACTAAAGATTATTAAATATCAGTTATATAAGCCATAAAAAGTCAGAAAATACTGTTACCTTTATAGACCCATGAGTCTTCTACTGAGTGACAATGTCTATCCTGTGACTAATACAGTGTTCAATTGCTATTTGTCCTCTTCTCCTTGTCTGTCCCCTTTAAAAATTTTACTTTATGGGTGTTTGCATGTACATCTGTGTACAAGATACAGGCCTGGTGGTGGAGGTCAGAATAACATGCCAAATCTACTACTACTACTGTTAGAGACAGTTGTGAGCTGCTACCATGTGGGTGCCGGGATTTGAACTGGGGTCCTCTGTGAAAGCAGCCTACGTCTCTTAACTACTGAACCATGTCTCCAGCCTTCTCCCATCTTCTTCTTTGTCAGGTTTAAATTGAACTCCAAGTATACTAATGAGTACATAGGAAAAAGTACTACGATGATCATCACTTAAGGCCAGAAGGCAAATGAGTCTTTCACTTGTCTCTGGTATTCATTTCATTCAGGCACTTGCTTAAGGAACCTTTAACACAGTATAATTCACTCAAACAAAGAGTCACTGAGGCTAGGCAATGGAGGTACAGCCTATAATCAACACTTAGGAGATTAAAGGAAGACCAATGTGAGTTCAGGGTCAGCCTGAGCTGCAAATGTATAAATTTTGACTTTAAAATATTTTAAAAAGTCACTGAATGCCTACTCTGTAGCATGCTAAGGACAGTGATGCTGTCAAAATCCTCACAAACAGCTCACACTCTAGTTAGTGTAAGAGACAAATGTGATTATGGACACGGCTAAGAAAATTCTAGGATGTGGGAGACACAAACTAAAAACACTTAATCTCTACTGAAAGAAAACTTTGAAGACAAGATGCCTGCAATGAGTCTGGAAGGTAAGTAGACTTTGCAGAAAGAAAGAAGAACTTCTCAGACACTAACAATATAAATGAAAGCACTCATATGACAGATCAAATTGTGAATTTAAGAAATCAAGTATGCAGCTTTGCTTAAGTTCAGAGAAAAGAGTTGAAAAGGTAGGAAGGTCTGTCAGGGTCAAGCTATGAAAGACACTCCAGCCTCAATGCAGTATCTCACTAAGCTTGTACTAAAAGATGGACTTCAGGGGCTACAAGGAATCAAGAACACAAACCACTTTTGCAAAGGACCTGAGCTCAGTTTCCAACACATCCACATCAGGTGGCTCACAGATGCCAGGAACCCTAACTCCAGGAGATCTGATGCTCTCTTCTGGACTCCATAGGCACCTGCATTCATACATACACAGAAATAAAAATTAAAAATAATCTTTAAAAAGTAGATTTAATTTCACTTTAGAGTTCATTATACAGCCAGATATGATGGCTCACGCCTTTAATCCCAGCACTCAGGAGGCAGAAACAGGCAAATCTGTGTTTGAGGGTGGCCTGGTCTATAGAGCTAGTTCCAGGACAGCCAGGGCTACATGGAGAAACCATGGTTTGAAAAACAAAAAAACAAAAAAGGATGAAAAGGAGAGTAAGTTTGTGGTGTGACCAAGAAAAGTAAGGAGGAAGGAAGAAAGGGAAACATTTTAACTAATCTCTGTAAAGTGCCTTTGCCTTGCCCCCAGTTATAAAATGAAGATAGCTATATGGGAGATATATATATATCTGATTTACAGGATACCATAAAGTCTAACATGGTCTCAAATATCTACCCTAATACTTATCATGCTACTTGACATTTCCTCAACACAGCTATTCTTCCTTTTAAATAAACAGAATATTTTAAAATATCAAAAATAACTCAAATGTGCATTAAAAAAAAGTGTGCCTTGGGCCAGAGTTGTTGAAGCTTATCTAGGGTGCCAAGGCCTGAGTCCCTTTCCCAGACCACAGCCGAATTTTAAAAAAGCAAGTAAGAAGTGTGTGTCTGTGAAACTCTGCTAAGTCTCTTTTACAATACACTGTCCTCCTGAAAAATTTTCAGACACCAGCCCAGAGCCTAGTTTAACAAGCCCTTGACCCCAACACTTTAGCTCAACCTTTTAACCAAGTTGCTGTCTACCTTTTAAAAAAAATTTTTACTCATGACAAAATACAGTAGATATATACTACAAGGCACTGCTTTACAACCTAACCCATTTGGAAAGTCAGCATCTAAACCCAGATGCAGACAGTTACTGACAGCTCAGAATACTGCTAACAACCTATGGTCTCTCAGTCATTTTATTCCCCTGTAAATGTAGTCAATGTTTTCTACCTCTACCACTTAGTATTAACTTTGTTTATTTTTTAATTTAATGTCTGTATGCTCAATGATGCAAGTGTGTCATGATACATATATTGTATATACTTTCTAGATCTGCCTTAAATGTGTACGAATTTGCAAAAAGGAGGCCTGCATGCCACAGGCAGAAAGTAGCCATTGTCTCCTACGCTCATTTTACAAGAGCCTGACAGACAGCTACCTGTACATACTCTGATCTTTCTTAGATAAAGAAAACATTATTTAGACTAGAATGATCAATTCTGGAAGTGTATGTCTTAGAAATGCTTTCCTGTATTAGTTTTTACAGTTGTGACACTCCACAAATCATCAATCCTGGGCAAATCAGAACAGGTGGGTAAAGAGGCAAAATACAAGCAAATTTGCATACCTTAGATTTAACAAGAAATCCCATGCTTGTTCTTAAGGGGTCAATCCTGTAGACTGGCTACCTTTAGCTGATTTACAAAGTAAATAAAATACTAAACTATATGAGCAAATATAATTAATAGGCTATAATTATCTGTTTCAGAAGCAGTCCTTCACCCAGATGGTAGCTTCTTTGGGAAAAAAAGGAATTCTTAATTCATTTCCAGTATCTATGCAGTGCGTAGTCCTCACAGTGGGTATGTAGTAAGTGCTTGCCTTTAGTTTGGGAACATTTCCCCTATGTGCAAGGTACTGTTAGGTGCCAGAGACCCCATAATGGCTAGCTTATGTTGAAATGAAATGAACAGGTTCTGTTTAAAATGTAGCCAGGCATGGTTAAGGGAGCTGTAGCTGCCTGTTCCCATCAGAGATCTCCCAGCAGCAGCACTTGCTCATTACTTTCTCTTAAATGCTTTTTCTTTAAAATCCATGGAGCTCCAGCATGTAACTTTTTCTGTTCAGAAAAAGTAGCACACTCCAGAATCTTTTGGTCATAAAAATATCGTTAGCAAGAGAGTAAGTCTGGTGCTTTCAAAAGTCTTGGAATCCAGAATTCTGAGTATCAGAAACAAGACTTAGTGGGAAACATCTGACTTTGCTTATCTGGTTTCAATCTTTTTCCAAGAGAAGCAGGAAAAATTATGTTCCTGTCAGTATGTAAATTGTGATTCCATACTCAAAAACTACTCTGGGAAGAGTCTAAGACTGAGCAAATGGATGGGATATAGCACATAAAATATCTAAATATACTCATGCAAAGGGCAGCATACACATGGAAAGTACAATTATACAAGATATGAACTACTTCCCTGTGTTACTAGTCTGAAGAATTTACCAGAATAGTAAGAACTTAGGAATTCATCAGAGAAAATATTTGGGAGCATGTCAGAGGCAAACCAGGACCATTACTTTCGAAAGCAGCATATTTATGACCCCTTGTTTTCCTTTTTCCAGTGAAATAAAGGTGTGATAATGTGGTCAATATGGAGAGATACCAAGCTGTGGACTCTTGCAGACTTCAGCCAACACTGAAATGCAACACTGAGGGCTTTGGCAGCTGCATTACATACTCTGAAATTCTTATATCACTACTCTGGTAAGGGCCTAGCACCAAGTCAGCTTGGGTTCTGATATGGTTTAAAAAAAAGAATTTTTAAAAACTTAAGGAATAGTCATTACATGCTACAGGAAATATTTCATTCCAGGTTCTTTTTAAAGGACAGAGCAGTATTTCCAAGTTACTAAAGAAATAACTTTTGTGGTACAGCATGGCTATAATCTTAGCACTCAGGATTATAAACTAGAGGCCAAACAGAGCTAATACAGGGAAACTCAATATCAAAAATTAAGTGAGTGACGTGAGACTGCCTCTAAGGAGTTTAAGTGACCTTAATGGAGACCTTTTAAAGAGTTCTGGAAGAAGAATGTGAGTGCCTAGCAAGGAGGCTGGGCCTGTGATAGGCACAGGATGTTTGCAGACCTGAGGAAGACTGGAGCTTCCACCCACTCCCCTTTGCAATGCTGCAAGTCGCTCTGGTCTAGGGCTTGGCTGAATCTTTTTGTAAAGTTTTGTTTTTATGTGCCTTGGCTGACCCTGTGAGTCTAGATGAGCCTTACAGACTGACTCCTAAACATGTGGCTTTGAAGAAACACAGTAGTCTTGATTTACTGGCCGACCTACTGACCTCAACTGCCACAATGAATCTAGCTCAGAAGAAGCCAGTATTATTTTTTACAAAGTCACTGTTTGACAAAAGATCCTCTTGAAAAACAAAACAATTAAGCCAGAAATAAAGCTTAGTTGGTAGAGTATGTGCCCCCATATCATATGTATGTAAGTATGTATGTATGTATGTATGTATGTATGTATGTTCTGTACCACCATACAGGTATGGTGGTACAGAACTGTAATTCAGCACTCAAGAGGACCACAAATTCAAGCCTATTCTAAAACCCATGAGACCCTGACAAAAAACAGAACAACAACAAAAAACTTAAACAATAAGTCTCAAAATAGTGATTATTTAATTATAAAAATAATCAGTTATAAAGAACGACAATTACCTTGATATTTCTACTCTTAACACCGAATGCCGAGGTATCCTCTAGAGATGTTGAGGAACCCTTTCTTACTTCAGTCACAAGCCTATAAACAAGTTACCTGACCTAAGATATCAGTCATTCCACAAAACAGTTTTCACATGTATACTTGGGAAGTGCTTATGAAAGACAGAACCCTTAAAATAGGTGTTAATTAGAGCTTCACAGCTAAATGATCTGACTTTACTCATGCAGAACTGAATTTACATATAAATTAATTGAAAGATCAAGACTGAGGGCTGACTGAGGCTGTAACTCAGTGGTCTAGAGCTTGCCTTTGCAAGTGTGAAGCTCTGTTCAATGTCAGGTTGTGGTTTTTGTTATTGTTTTGTGGGTTGGTGGGATCGAGATGGGATCTGTTAACTTCCAACATTTCAGTAACTGCTATTGAGAGAGTGAGGTGGGTGGCAAGAGAGCTTAGCAGGTAAAGGTGCTTGCTGCCAAGCTTCACAATTTGAGTTCAAGCTCTGGAACCCACATGATGAGTTTCTATTGTTGTAATAAAGATCATAACCAAAAGCAACTTGGGGGTGAGGGAAGGGTTTATTTACCTTATATACCCATTGATGAAAACCAACACAGGAAGCTGGAGGCAGGAACTAAAGAGGGACCATGAAGGAATGCTGCTTATTGGCTTGCTCCTCATGTGTAAGAAAGCTCAGACTGCTTTCTTATACAGGACCAGCTGCCCATTGGTAGCACCACTTCACAGTGAGCTGGACCCTCCAACATCAATTATTCATCAAGAAAATGCCCTACAGACTTGCCCATAGGCACTCTGACAAAAGTATCTTCTCAAGTGAAGTTCTCTCCAGACAATTCTACCTTGTGTCGAGTTCACAAAAAAAAAAAAAAAAAAAAAAAAAAAAAAAAATCCAAGCAGCATAGAAATCCTAGCACTGAGCTATAGTGGTTGTAAACTACCTCTCTTAAGTGCTAGGAGATGAATTCTGGTCCTCTGCAAGTGCAGTGATTGCTCCTGATTTCTGACCCTTCTCCAGCCCCAATATGAGAATTTATAGGACTTAGTTTTTCAAATTTATAAATTCAAAGACTTTTGATACCACCCCCCAAAATATATGTACATTGTAATTCTCCAAACAGACAAAACTTATAATAAATATTCACATCTAAAAAGAAAATATATATTATAGTCAACTGTATACTAAACACATATAGACATTTTTATATACGTACATCTTTGTGGTATTTCTGTATATATACAAAAATTATGATGCTTGATGTTAAAAGAGGAATCAAAAATTTAAATTTTTAAATAAAAATTACTTGGTGTGGAGGTGTTTTGCCTGCATGTATACATGCAGTGCACCTGGAGAGGTCAGAAGAAGGTGTTGGAATTCTCTAAAATATAGTCAAAATTTAAGTTTTTAATCCGGGTGTGGCACTATATACCTTTAATTCCAGCACTAGGGACAAAAAGGCAGAGGTTTCTCTGTGAGTTTGAGACCAACCTGGCCTACATGGCAAGTTAGAGGTCAACCAGAGCTAGATGGTAAGAAGGACCTTGTCTCAAGAGAATTTTTTGACCTTTTAAGCAAAAGTTCAAGCTTTGAAATTTTTGTACTAGTACATAGTATACTGCGAGTTTCATTGCTTCCCAATACTGTATAGCTTGTTTAACAGCTATGTTCTAAATTGCCAATGCATGATGTCACAAAAATAATGAGCAGGTAAAAAAAAGTCCATGCAATGTTTTTTTTTAAATATTTTTTTAAGGATTTGTTTATATATTTTATGTATATGAGTATTTTGTCTGCATACACAGCTGTATACCAGAAGAGGACACTAAATCTCATTATAGACGGTTGTAAGCCAGTCACTATGTGGGTGCATGACCTCTGGAAGAACAGCCAGTGTTTTTAAACACAGAGTCATTTCTCCAGTCCCCATGAATGGATATTAATGAGACATAGTACATAAAATTCAGATATCTACTACCTACATAAAAATCCAGATGCAGCAAACACATCTATGATCCCCGTGCTTGGAGACTGCTGGACAGCCAGTCTAGTCAAATCAGGTCAGCTCCAAGATTAGTGAGACTCTGACTCGAAAAAATAAAGTAAAAATTGATAGAGGAACAACAACAACAAAGCCAGGCAGTGGTAGTGCACGCCTTTAATCCCAGCACTGGGGAGGCAGGCAGATCTCTGTGAGTCTGAGGGCAGCTTGGTCTACAAAGCAAATTCCAGGACAGCCAGGGCTAGACAGAGAAACCCTGTCTCAATACAATAAAATGAAATAAAATAAAACAAATTTTAAAAAATGATAAAGGAAAGACCACCCAGTGTTGACTTCTAGCCAAAATACAAAAGTACATGTACATAAATACATACATACATAAATACATACATACATCACACAAATATACACATATGTTTTTGTTTAATGACTTGTTTTGTAGGGTTGGGCGTAGGAGGGCTCAAATGTGGATTTAATCCAGGTCAGACAAGTACTTATCTGTGACATACAACTTTGGCCCAGAAAATACACCTTACTGGTTTTTGTTGTTGTTTTGTTTTGCTTTTTAATGTTATCTTAAGTAAAGCTAGTGCACAGCTGAGTTAGCACAGCACTTCCCTCACATGTACAAGGCTCTGCGTTCACTGCTCTGTACTGGGTGAGGAAAGTTAACTTATGTTAACTGTGTAATAGATATACTACATTTTAAATTTTACTTAAATCTTACCATTCAGGGAATCAAACCCGGGAAGGACATCACTGGTACTTCCTAAATGGTCTATTACATTGAGATACATTGTCCAAACTTTAAAATTTGTCAAAACAAATCAAAATATGTTAAAAATTTATCCATTTTCATTTCCACTGCAAACTTAAGGACAATTAAAGCTCTGTAGACAATGCTCTAGCAGCAAGAGACCTTCAGACCCTGATTTTGTTTCTGATTGGCATAACCTGCTTCTTTATATGAGTATAGAAACTAAGTAACAAGTGGCATAATTAAAATTGGGCCTCCTGGCTTCAATTTGTGTTTTTCGATACAGTAATTCTCTGCTAAGACACTTGTTTAGACAGTCTTACAAGTACACTGCAAATTTAGCCAAATTATTATAACATTGATTGTAACTGAAGTTTGGATATTATATGCCAGAAAATTTTATTACTCTCATTTAACTCTCAGAAAAACTCAGTGATAAAGAGAAGTATAAATTTCCATTTTGCATATAAGAAACTTGTGCTGAAAATCACATGGTTAAAAAATCACTTTATATATAAAAAGAACAGATCACTAGCCTAAAGTATAGTCATACAAATTCAGCTTTAAACATAGCAGCAAGAAAACACACAAAAAGAGAAATGGACTAGATATAACCATACTGCCTCACACCCAGCATCAACCCATCAGCCACTAAAAGATTCTGACAAGAGTCCAGGGTGAAGGACACATCACTGACATATAGTCAGGACAAAGGGAACTCTTGGCAGATTTTCTCTAAACTGTAATTCCTCTCCTATGTAAATTAAGTACCAACCTGGGTCTTCCCAGCTTTATCATACTAAGCCTTGACAACAGCCATCATTAGTGTCCAAACCCCACTTTTCCCAGGCTAATGACACGTGTCAGGCCTTGATTTCTAGTGCCACTTTCGCCTGCCAACATAGGAAAGGCTTCCATAATGCCTTTGGCTTTTCTGAAATACCTTCAAGTCACAAGGTAGCAGCTGACACTAAACCTATCCTGAAGATGGACACTTGGCCCAAAGCCCAAGCTGAGTGGACTTGAAAGTTTTTGAATTTTATTAAAATCATCCCTACCTTCTCACTACCAATTAAAATAAAATCTTCTCAAAAGCAGCCAGAAGTTCTACAATAATCCATCTAGTGGGAATCAGTCACCTTTGATTAGAGAAAAGCAGTAAGTGTAGCAGGCCCTGGTAAATATTAGAGCCCTAAGGACTGTCAAAGGGTTTTGATCACTTAACAGCTGCTTCTCACTTTATACCATAGAAAGTTTTTAAGCCAACACCACTCAGCATTACTTAGTCAAATACTTCAGAAAAGCATACCAAATCCAAGTCAAGTCTGCATGCATCTCTAAGACTAAGATGTTTGGCGTGTCAGAACTAACATGAAAGCTATATACTTTGCAGATGGTCATTAAGGCCTTATGAAACTTCTGCAAGGAAAAAAAATGCTTTTCATGGTGGAATGATGGCAGTGTTTAATTTAATAAGTAAACCTATATACACAGAGTCAAGTAAGTATAACTCAGGATCTTCTTTTCCGTTCTCAGTCTGTTTCCTTACCTGTAAAACAAGGATTTCGAGCTTAAATCAGACATTCAGAAATTATGAAATGGCTACATGAGAGTTATTTGGGATATATATATATATATTTACACCTAACGAAATTGAATATTAAATCTGGGGGTGTATATAAAAACCTGCATTACTACCAAGTTGCATTTCCCACTATTAACACTTTAGAATAGAATGTAAAGTCAGTTTAGAAACCATCAGACTACTAGTCAGAAGTCTGACTAGCTTGGAGAACTTAGAAAGAGAAAATCAATACAGAGGATAGGGACCTAGCACAGTGATAGAAATTATACCGGCCTTGTACACAAAGAACCTGGAAAGAGGGATGGAAGAGTGAGTTGGTGAGAGCGAGGAGGTGGGGGCCTCTGTAGAAGTGGCCAGTGTTCTTAACCACAGAGTCACTTCTTCAGCGCTATGGCTTTATATTTTCATCTAATCAGTTTAACTGAACAGTCCCTGGTATAGTTACTCAAAGACCTGTGTACTGAGCATAAATAACCTAGGGATTAATTTAACAAAGAAAAGGAAAAAACCTATGAGTATGCAAAATTTAAAATACCTCAAACATATAAAATCAATGTTAACTGTGGGACAGAAAAATCAGGTGGTCCTTAGAGTATTTTGACAAATATTGAAGTAACATATTCCATTTGAAGAACAGAACTGCCTTTAATGCTGGGCCAATTTGCCGTCTTGGTGGCCTGGCCTAACAACTTCCTCTTTACTGTGTCAAATATCAAACAAAATGTTCCAAAGTATTGCATTTATAAAAGATTTATTACTTTTAATTATGTGGGATGGGGAAGGGTTGTGCATGTGAGTGCCAAAGGAGTCAGAGTACCCTGGAGCAGAAGTCAGCTACCCATTGTGAATGCTGGGAATAACATTCGGGCTCTCTGCAAGAGAACTATGTGCTCCAATTGCTCTGCCATCTCTCCAGCCACTTCAGTTTAAATTTCCAATTTCTACCCTTACTTTGGCAAAATACCTGCAATCTTTTTAAATTTAAATTTTATTTTATTTAGTGTATATTTACATTAGTGGATGGGGAGAGCAGTATGTACACCATGAGACATGTGCAGACATCAGAAGCCAATCTATAGGGATTGGCTTTTTCCATGTGAGTTTCAGGGATTGAACTATAGATATCACATGTGGCAGCAAGCATTCTTACCAATGGAGCCATGTTGTTGGCCCATCAAACCATAAGCTTGGGAAGCTCTGTTTGCCTCCTTCCCAGTACTGAAGAAGACACTCTGTATTCAGCAGACTTCTTTCTGAGCATTGCACTGAAGTAACATATTTATTCAGCCTAATTTAAAACTAGAATCAGTGTAATCGTACTGGATCACTTCCAAAGGTTAAATCCATTCACTATTTATGCAATTCCTCATTTGGCAATTTCTTTTAAAAGTTGTAATTATGTAAGTAGAGTTACTAATAATAACTGGTGTTTTCAATTAGTACAAAATTTGGTGAAGTCTAAATAGCTCCTTTTGCAGGAACCATCACTGTCCAATTCTATGCTACAAAGAAGGTAAGACTGGCTGGCAGCAACAGTACCTAAGTCATTCCTACCAGATGGAGACCAGGTAACAGAATTTTATTACCCAGCTGCCTAGCAAAGTGTTGGATGAGTTCTTAAAACTTTATAACTCAAATTTGCTTTCAGAATTCTGGGTTTCATGTGAATTATTTAGAAAGATAGTCCATACCTTTGCATAGGTTTTTCAATTATGTTACCTCTCTTAGTACTCACAATAAATGAGGTTGGCAATTATAGTCCCACCTTACAGATTAAGGAAAATGAAACGTGCGGGAGAAGAAAACCTTACAAAGTGGTAAAGCATTAATTTAAAATATGTCTTTAAAACATGTGTACATGCCAAGTGTGTTGGCACACTCCTGTAATCCCAGCAATTGTGAGTTTAAAGCCAGCCCAGTCCACACAGCAAGTATTCAACCAGGCCAGAGGTACACTGTGAGACCCTGTCTCGAAAAGAGAAAAGAGAAAAAGAAAAAAGAAAAACAAAAACACACAAAACCCTATACCTACATAATGCTAATGCAATGCAAGGCTATTCTGATCAATTTTATTTAATAACACTTAAAGAATGGTTATAGTTTAATTTTAATAATGTAAATCATTTTGAAATAGCATAAAGATATTGGAAGTCATAAATTGAGGTTATAAGGTTTTTAATATTTGCAATTTTAGTTCTCAAACCATTCGATGAAGCACATATTGTGGGAGGAGCTAAAGTGGGAGGAGTAAAGAGAAGAAGAGGAGGAGTTGGGAGAGGAAGAGAAAAAAGGAAGAGGAGGAGCTGGAGAGGGCCTAGATGTAGGAGGTTGGAGAACCACACAGGTATGGAGAATACTCATGGGGAACAACTTATAAACTTATAATTAGGTTAGCTAATTGGGATACAACTCTCTTTGTATGGGCATCTTGTTATTAATCATTATCAAACATATAAAGCCTTTGATTAATCTATAAGAATTAGAGTCTCAATTCTCTACATGGATCCATGGCCCACATGGATGGTGGAATGGTCTGGGCAATGCCCTGTCTTGTGAAGACAACATAGAAGATTGGCAGAGCCATCTCTCACGCTGGCATCTAGTGGGTGGCAGGGCTGGTGTTTCTGGCGGGCTGGTTCTAACTTCAGCGCGCACGTGGCCTCAGGCCAAGAAACATGGCGGCTGAGCCGCTGCAGCTTAGATAGTTGGATGAACCAGAGGCCAGTTTTAAATAATTACCACAACACATATTATTCTAGTTTACAGAGAAGAAAATAGGAAGAGATGATATATAATTTTCCTACTTCTACAAAATAAGTGTTCCAAAATCTCTGATCTTATATAATACTGCTTTTACATGCAACATGAAGAATTTAAACTACAGTCATTTTAAAGGAATGATAAAAGAAAATCAAGCATTCATTCAATTTGGAAAAGTCTATTACAATACAATCCAGTTGTTCTATTTTTGCATAAGCCAAGAGCAATGATTGGAGAGAATGCAGATATTACACATGCATTTTTGCATGTACTTTAACTTGCAAAGTTGTATATGCAATAAGTGTTGTCACACATTTTAAATGGAAGACAACTAACAGTCTAAGAGGTTACTATGGCTACTCATCAGTGTCTGCACAATCCTTTTCTAGACTGTCCTGTCAACCAACACCCTTCTCCTCTATTGGAGTACTGTTGCTTTTCAGTCTAGTGAAGATCCAATTAGTGTTTAAGACCCAGTGAAAATCCAACTAGCATTTAAGTGATCTGTTTAGATAGAGCATTCTTAGCATTCAAAGCAAAGTTAATATTGTGGTTCTTATCCTCCCAGCAGCATTCCCCACATTCTGTTTGTCATCTGCTGTATATCTCACCTAGACGACACCACATTCATGATGTCAGGGACTGTAAAAAGGACAAGGGATCCCTAGGATTTCACAGCTTCAGTTAGTAAAAAGGTAAAGTAGTAACCAGCACTTTAGCTAAAGGATGTCCATACTGACATACTCCTGTCTTTTGTTGTTGTTATTTGTTTGTTTGTTTCTCCAGACAGGGTTTCTCTGGGTAGTCTAGCTGTCCCGGAACTCACTCTGTAGAACATGCTGGCCTCAAACTCAGAGATAGATGCCTCTGCCTCCTGAGTGCTGGGATTAAAGATGTGCTCCACCACCATCTTGCCACTGCTATCATTTTCAAAACAAAAATTTATCCTCATGTAAATAATCACAAACATTTCTAGCAATGCTCCCTGCACAGTAATTATATAGATTCCCACCTGTGACAGGAACTCTTTACTAACTATGCAAACAGAAGAATTTATATTCTTGTTTCTCACAATTTCCAGAGGCCAGAAAGACTCTGGAAACATTTATATCTCTGTGAATAACGTGAGTTTTGGTATTCTAGGCATCTCTAGAAAGGAAAGGAAAGGAGGTAAGTGAAATTATAATGGCTTAGTAATTTCAGACAAATTCAAAACCAGGTTACACTAAGAATTAAACATTGAAACCAAGTTAGGAAAAGTTTAGCTATGTAATTGTCAAACAAGGTGACCCTTAGCTTTTTAAATCCTTTAGAGTCCATCATTGCATAAGTCTCATAGGCAAATTCATTTAAAAAGACCCATTGTGCAGCTGCAGAGGTGACTCCCTGATTAAGAATGCTTGCTGCATGTACCTCCCAGAGGTTGGGAGTTTGGTTCCCAGCAACAGTCAGGTGGCTCACAACCACTTGTAACCATAGCTCCTGGGCATGCAATACCATTTTTTTCTTCTTTTGGACTCCTTGGGCACCTGTTCATGTGTAGTGTATGCACGCAAGCACACATACTTTTTAAAAAAAAATTAACAATAACAATAAAGGGAAATAACCAATGTGTACTTTAATTGTGAATGATGAAAGTAAAATTAAAGGCTTAAAAGAAATTGAAGGAATAAGGACAATAAAGACCTTTAAAAGTAGCTGGATGTGATGGCATATGCCTTCTATAATTCTATCACTCTGGAGGCAGAGGCAGATAAATCTCTAAATTCCAGGCCAATCTGGTTTACAGATTGAGTTTAGGACATCCAGGACTACCCAGAGAAACCCTATTTTGGAAAGAGAGAGAGAGAGGAGAGAGAAAAATGAAAAGTATCTCAAATGCAACAGGAAGCATCTCCATATCAAGAACAGGATTTCTTGGAATGCTGGACACTGAAGAACAGTAGGTTTATTTTTTAATTTGATGCAGCAGATACCACTATTTCTGATTCTCTGTTCTAAGTAATACAGAGCTTGACATCTCCTATGAGACAAAGGCAAAGACTATTTAAAACAAATCCAAACCAGAGTTTTTAAAATACTACACAGGAAGATACTTGATCTTTTCATTTCTTTGTGCTTCCATTTCACAACAATCAAACTTGGCAAAGATTCCAAGTGAAGAATTTTGATGGAGGATGAAATAAAGTGATGTAGAATATAAACAATTCCATTTGAACAAAATTCTCGATGGTTAATAACTTTCTCTCAAGAAGTGCCATTTGGCTACTTTAAAAATGAGTCTTTGACTAGGTCAGCCATCAGTGTTTAAACCCAAAGGGGCTGGAGAAATGATTGCTCAGTGGTTAAGAGCACTGGCAGCTTTTCCAGAAGACTCAAGTTCGATTCTCAGCCCCTATATGTGGGCTTATAACTATCTAACTCTAGTTTCAGGGGACCTGACACATTCCTCTGGCCTTTGAGGTTACTAGCCATACACTTAGGTAAATACCCATACACATAAAAATAATAAATTTAATAAATGCATTTAAGAAAATATTTAAATACAAAGGATCCCAGATTAGAGATTAACCTCAATTCAGCCAGCACTGCTACAAGCAATGTTTCTATGTTGCTTAATATAAAGCCAATATTCTGAAAAAATACTTAATTCATTTTCAAGATTTTTCATAAAAGATATTCAATAAATAAGCAGGCGTGGTGATGCACACCTTTAATCCTAGCACTCAGAAGGCAGAGGCAGGCAGATCTCTGAGTTTGAAGCAGCTCACTCTACATAGAGAGTTCCAGATAAGCCAGGGCTAAATAGTGAGACTCTGAGAAGAAAAAGAAAAGAAGAAAAGGAAAGGAAAGAAAGATAAAGAAAAGGAAAGATAAAGAAAAGAGAAGAAAAGAAAGGGGAGGGAAAAAATCAGTCAATAAGTAATAAAAATAACAACCCAAAACAAAGTTCAGATACATCTGGCATTTTAGTTACTCTGCATTCTTTTAAAGATTTTTATTAATTATATGTATGTATGCGTGTGTATGTTCATGTGACTGCAAGTGCCTGTGAAGGCTTGAGTTGACAGATCTCTGCAGCAGGAATTGGTAGTTACAGATGGTTAAGATGGGTGCTGAGATCAAAGTCCATGTTCTTGGCTGCTGAGTCATCTCTCCAGATCCACTCTCTGTCCTCAAGTACACATAAAATGTTTGCTCTTTTTATATGGAAAACAATTCATGGAGCATCACTAGCACCTGTGGTAATTTAGCAGCCCACAATTCTCAGCTAGGGAGTTCTGTCTTTTATCTTTTTCTCTGAAACATACAGCTTTAGACCTGTTTTCTACTATTACAGGCAAATGAGAAGGAATTTGCTAGTTTAATTTAGCTCTTCCATGAAGGTTCAACCCTGTGTTATGAGTATGTTCTGAGACAAGTAAAGGAGGAAGCAGCATAACCAATAATGAGTCCTGGAACATGAAGTCTGGTGTTCAAGTTCTGACTATGGAACTCAGGGTAAGTCTCTGTTTAATACACGGTCGGAATTAAATATACAAATTCTACTACACAGAAGTCCCAAACATATGTTATGGTCTTTCTTGTTTCTGTACCTTAATAATTTAAAAATATTACTATATAATTGATAAATGAATGCTTTCAGAACAATATCATTGAAAAATCTTTCCACAGATGTCCATTTTTAGTCAGCAATGTAAACTGCAGTCTCAAAACCCTGCAGCTCATTACCTCTCTGCTATATGCAAACTAACCTCACACTTTAAGTACTGTTAACTTGAAATCTTGGAAAAAATGTGAGAGAGCCAACAGCAGTGGTCCTTAGAACATGAGAGCAGGCCAAAGAAGGGCAACCAAGCCAGCCTTAAGAGAACTCCATGGAACATTCAACGCTGTCGGTGAGTTTGGGATTCAAAAGCAAAAAAAACCACCAACCGTTGACTGTACCTTGGGATTCTTACAGACAACAAGTTTCCTGAAGCAAAGGAGGAGGCTGTATGGATATATCATACGACATCACAAGAGACAGCCCTGTAGCCTCTTCTCTAAAGGGAACCAACAACTTTTTTTTAAAGCTTCCATGTATTTATATTGTCCATTTTTTTGGTAATATTTTGATAAATAAGTGTTTCATTTGAACAACTAATGGGGTGCTATCATAGTACCAAATGCACTCAAATATCTTCTAGAAATGTGCCATTCTAGTCAGAAATAGGGTGTATTAAAAATATCTATTAGTATAGACATAAAATCTAGTTAAGTCTTTTTTTTTCTTTTTTTTTCTAGTTAAGTCTTTTATTCTCATTCTTCGACATCCTTTCAAATTTTTGCTTTAGGGTCAAGGAGAAGATTTACTCAGTAAAAATAGCACAAGACTACTCAATGTCTTTATGAATCATATTGTACCTCCAATTTCAGTTATTGTGGCTAGGATTTGACAGCTCCATGAGAGAACTAGATACATTTCCATCTTCATGTGCTTACTTAATGAATTTTGGGTCATCTCTAACTGTGTCAGCCTATATGTATCCAAGTATGTTTTCTCAAGTGTAGAATGAGAGAGGAAAGAACCTCAGAGTTTTGATTTAATGAGAAGATATATGAGGGTACTTTGAACTATTTCTAGCTCACAGCAAACGTTTACTACAAAAACCTTTACTTAACTGCAATCATAATGTATACTGCTTTACCTTGAAAAAGGGCACTTCCATTTCTCAGCTTGAAACAAAAGACGAAGCAAAGTCTCTGAGGGCTGCTGTACAGACATCAACACCCAAGTCCCAGGTCATGTGATCAGAGCTACCTATGAGGTTCTCACACAGTGCCTTCCTCCTTTTCTGTCTTGAAAAAGTTCTTGCTGTACAGTCAAAGTTATCTATAATTATGAGTCCTCAATCATACAGATGACTGGTTACTAACATACAACAGACTTCAAAGAACCACCACAGTGGGAAGAAGACCCAGGAGACGGGAAAGGCCAAGATGATTCCACCACATGGAAACACTGATGGCTGCACTGAACATTCATTGCTGTCGGTGGGTTTGAATGTCAAGCAACTCACTGATCAATGAATGCAAACTGCGGGCCGAAAAACGCAAGGAAACAAAAGCACTCCCAGACAGTCGCCGGAGTGTGGAAGTACTGCTCCAGGTGGGACCTCAATCTTCTATCTAAAGTCTCTTTAGTTTCTTTGCTTCTAATATGGAGGAAAGTATAATTCCTAGTATTTTTTATTGTCTTCTCAAATATTCCAAGTTTTGGGAAATTATATTATCACAGGCAAAATGAGTAATATGCCTTGACATCATAATATTTAAAAACAATGCTTTCGTAATTTAAAAAGAAACGTGCTTTTTATTTTAAAATACAAGTATATGAAAAGAATTTAAATCTATCCTCATTTCAAATGCATTCCTTCTATGAAAACCATAAGAACATCCATTTGCTAGTATTATTTAGACAGAAAAGCCATAAAGTAAAAGTAATCTTTGAAGACTTATCTACATGTATAAAAACAAAGACATAACTGCAATTCTGGGGAAGTTCAATGGCAACAAAAGGAACTCGTTGCTCTTCAATTTACCTTGGCACTCAGCTATACGCTTTAGGCTTAACAAACAACATTTACTACCATTTTGACTATTTGTTAATTGTTTTTGAGACAAAGTCTTACAGATTCTATGCTAGGAAAGTAGCCTTGAATTTCTGATCCTATGTTCTCCTAACTAGGATGACAGGTGTGTATCACCAAGCCTGGTATTGAACCCAAGGCTTTGTGTGTGATAGGCAAGCAGTCCACTAATAACTGCAGCGCCTGTATTTGTATGTTGGTGCATGTGTAAACCAGAGGTGTTAGGTGTCTTCCTAAATCACTCTCCACTTTATTGCCAAACCTGAGGCATACCTATTCTGTAAAACCATCAGACGACCAAGTTCCAGGAAGCATATAGCTCCACTTTCTCAAGTCTTCATGCTTCCATAGCAAACACTCACTGAATGAGCCATTTCCTCATCCCCAAACCTTCCTCATTCTTTTGAATGACTGTATGTTTTAGTATGAATACTCTGGTTTTTATTGTTGAAACACATTTAAAAAAATATTCTCTAGACCAAAACCATCTATTCGTACTTTTGCAAGAAATGTTTTTATGACAAGAAAAACAACCAAGTGAGATGGGAAACACCCATTCTATGGTAACAAAAACTAAAGGATAGTATCAACTCTCCAAATCCCTGTAGGATGATTTGCCACTTCAGCAGCACAGACACACTCCCTCTACTCACCAACCTGCAACATATGTATATAAAATGTCTGGAAAGAGGTAATAAGAGGTTATAACCAAGGGTTTAAAGGCAGTTTTTTCCCCCACGTCAGCCTGAATGAGATGTGTCATTAACTCTGGGTCCCTCAGAACCACATACCAAATAACTGATTCTAAACATGTTTCTAGTAGATTATGTAAGGGGAAGATTATGTGAAGCATGGGATAAAGCTTCCAAAGTACAAACTTTAAATGCAAAGTCTAGTAAGAGAGCTCACAAATCTTAAAACCATTTAACCAAAGTTTCTTCCTTTAGATCCTTCCAACAAATCACAGACATTTTTAAAAACAGGATTTAGGTGTAATTTACATACTGTACGATTCATCCACTGCATACTTACAAAACTTTTATAAATTTAGTTATGTAACTATTACCAAAGTTTAAGAACAAACATTTCTATGACCCTACAAAGAAGCCATTTATTTCCAATCAACCTCCACCCTAACACTGGGTCATGGATAATCACTAATCTGCTCTCTCTACAAATGTGCATCATCTAGGTAGTAACATGTTTGGTCAGATTACTTCAAACATTTGAAGCACACTTTTATAGCACTGTGTTAAGGTTACAACACAGTGCAGCCATCACCACTGTCCACATCCAGACTTTGTTATAATCCTAAAGTGGAAACTTGTTAAATAATAGTTACCTATTCCCAATATCCCCATGAAATTCTATTTTACTTTGTGTTTTACTTTGCCTATTCTAGTTATATTTTCAATACATGGAATCATACAGTATTTTTAATTTAATTTAAAAACTGATCTGTCATTTCATTATAAGAATTGTTTATAAGTCAGGCATCACAGTACATTCCTTGTCATTTCTAACCTTGGGAGGTGGAGGCAGAAAGAGCACTCAGAGTCAGCCTCTCCTAATAGCCTGTCTGAGGTCAACCTAGGCTGCCTGTAGGAAAAGACAAAAACATTTCTAAAACGTTTATATATTTTGGATGCATTCCTTTGAAAGATACTTAATTTGCAAATATTTCCCTTCAGACAGTACCTATCTTTCCACTTTCTTAATGTCTTTTGAAGTCCTAAGCTTTATACTTTAATATTAATATTTTTCTTCATGTTTGCCATTAGCCCAAGATCACAAAGCAATTCAATTTGATTTGTGATTTTAGCTTTTACACTAAGTGTATGAATCCTGTTAGTTACTTTGAGGCCTAATATAGAGTCTAGTTTTGATGCGTGTTGTTTTCTTTCTGCAAGCTAGCTGGATTTTTTTTTTTTTTGATATCTTATTTCTGTATTGCAGCTGGCAGACTTTTTTGGCACAAACATAACCAATTTCTCCAGCATCATATGTTATAGAAACCATATTCTCCCCACCATATTGTATAAGTACCTTTGCCAAGACTCAACTGTTATATACATCAGGATCTATGGCTGAACACAGTCTAGCTCCAGTGCCCATCATGGCTAGCAGCACAATGTCTTTTGACTTTACAGTAATACTTGAAACTGCACAATTATGTCCTCAAACTTTATCAATTTTCAAAATTGCATTAGCTACCTTGGGCGCTTTGCATTACTACCAGTCTTTGGAGTAAGGTGACAAGTGTTTCAAGAAAATTAGCTGAGATTTTCATACAGATTTTACCGAATCTTTTTTTTTTTTTTTTTTGGTTTGGTTTTTCGAGACAGGGTTTCTCTGTGTAGCCCTGGCTGTCCTGGTAGACCAGACTACCCTCGAACTCTCAAACTCAGAAATCCGCCTGCCTCTGCCTCCCAAGTGCTGGGATTAAAGGCATGCGCCACCACCACCTGGCGCAAACAGTATCTTAATAACACTTAAACTTTTAATCCACAAACATGGCATGTTTCTCCATTTATTTGGCATCTTTTAAATTTCTCTTGACAATAATACCCATAGCTTCTAGTATATAAATCTTGTACATGTTTTCATTTGCTGCAATTATGAATGCAACTTCTTTTTATTATTTTATTAACTACTGTTAATATATAAAAAAAACCCACAATTTTGTAGAGTGATCTTATGACACTGCCAATTCAGTTCCATCTGTCTTGTGGAATCTTTAGGATCCTATATAAGATTACATTATCTACAAATAAAGAGTTATAATCCTTTCTACTCAATTTG